GGGGGGGGGGGGGCATATCGTTGTCAGGGATGGATGTGCCGTCAAGGGTGGGAGCGGTTTGGTGCAAGATTGATGTTCCTCCCCACCTACGTGGTGTCATTTATACGTGCAAGGGGGGGGGGGTTGGGCGCGAACACCGACGAATGAAGAAGCGACGTCGCTTGTGGGTGGTATTAAGCGTTGCTAACACCCGGCCGACTCGCCGCGAAGTGGACAGCTTGATTTGTCCTCATGTCTGTCTGTCTACCGATCGGCATCAAAATATCCGTGTCGCGTCTGTCGACATCATCAGTGACTGCTGTGTCGTGCCATCTGGCGGAGAGTATCTTATTTCCTCTTCGCCGCACACGACCACGACGAGTTGCAAAGCTCGATCGATCTTTTTGGTTTCGGCAAGCATCATCATCCAACTCACACCCGTAGCAGGCACACCCCCATCCATGTCGGACGGTAGATCGTGCTAAGATGTACTACTTCGTACACTGCAGTCTGTCGCGAAAATGCTCGCAGTACTTTCACACGACGACCGAAACCACGTCGCAAAAAGTAAACGCTGGCAGCCCTTCAACACCTCGCTCGACCCTCCCGGCCAGCAGCAGAGTATTAACCTCTGTCATAGTACTAAATACTCTCCAAGATGAACTGGAAACAAAACCACGAACGAACACATTGTGTAAGTCCTGTACTTTGTGCCAATGACTACCGAATGCAGGCCGTGGAAACAATCAGCAAAATAGACTACATTGATAATCTCAAAACGAGTGACCAACACAACTAAGGCAGGACGCAGAAAAGCGCCCCCTCCGCAAGCAGCGTCAGCATACTTACCGACCCGTCACCCCTGGGCCTCAACACGCCTACACCAACCTATTACTACTGAACACCAGTTCCGTGGTAGGTCAGGGAGGGCGTCCTACCCTGGGTTGAACCTGACCGGAGATAAGACAGATGGATGGTGCTGAGCCGTACAGTATGCATGTCGCTTCCTTCCCCCGATGCCATCACCTGCCGGTCGGAGTCACCGCGAAAAGCAGGCTAGCTACTGCTGCTGCAGGATGTAGACGAACCTCCGGGCGCAGGTGACTCCACTTTTGACATGGTGCAATGGGAAAACATCTGAAGCGATTGAAAGCACGAGAATAACAACGGCGGGTTGTAATACGTATGCTCCGTGCGCTTTCAGACAAGAGTCCACGATTGATTGATCATAATTCAGCAAAAGGGCCATCTCAACGTCTTCATCGTTTCGAGCAAGTTGTATATACCACCACACAGCACGGCCACCCCGACCTTCCCCTACCCCCACGCCGACAACAGACGCGCTGCTTTCGCCTTCAGTCAATGCTGACTCCCTCCCCTCCCGCCCCTAATCAACAAACACACGCGGAACGACGCTGCTGCAAGCTAACACCACGGACGAAGCCGGGTTCATTTTGTTGATTAAAAACATGCAAACAAGCAACAAAAACATTGTTGATACTGGAAAAACACTTGTTTTTCCCTACGCGATAAAATGAGAAAACGAACTGCTGTCGTGAGGGGAAGAAGCGTAGGGAGGCGGCGGTAGCGCAGAAACTCATGGTATGACATCAATAACACCGACCGGCGCACAGAGCACTGCTTTGGGGAGTGATGGTTACGACTGATAGTCGAAACGACCATCAACGACTACCACAGCCAACCGTGTCATACGCGCTGGCACCACATCCAAACACGTCGTCAGCGCTTTTAACCGTGTCATCATATCCACCCGTCCATCCACTGCACTTTTTCATTCCCAAAAAATAGCTACTCATTATGCTACACTGCTACAAGACGAACAACACTCATCACGACAAATATCATAATTGAGACGGTCGCAACCGACTTATAAATATAGCAAAACTGCAAGCACATGGCCTTGTGGGTGACCAAGGCACGGCGTCACACGTGGCCCCTCATCAGGTGCTCTGGCTCTTCCCTCTCTTCAATCGATAAGAGATGCCCCCGAGCACTTAAGCATTTAAGCACAGGCAGCCAACATATTATGCCCTCCCCCCCCCCTCCGATAACCATAATGGTGGTCGAGTAGATCATGTTGTGCGGGGTGGAGAACCCTCACTCCGTACAAGGGGGATGATCGCACCACGTTGTGTTAAAATGGTCAAGCACCCTCGAGGCAGTTACACAGTGCTTACAACTGTCTCTGAAAGTGAAAACACCAGAAAATAAATTAATTCATACGCAGCTGTCATCCGCACGCAAGGAAGCAAGCACAAGATGCCGAAAACCCTTAGCAGGATGCAGCGCACCCTTCATGCGACTCGCCGAATATCTCACGGCGCTTCGCGCTTGGTGATGTGAGAGCCTGGTCCGGTGAGAACCCGGCG